TCTGAAGCAACCTTTGCATGGCTAGATTCTGATTCTATCATCTTCGTTAGTTTCTACTCTCGCCTAGTGTTCTATATTGAGAGTTTTCTTTTCCTTGCCATATTTTCTTATTATTCTTCCGATCTCGAAAATACTTTTTCTTCTTCGAGCAAGATCCATTCTTTCAGTCTTCTGTTTGTCTTGATCTTGGTTAGAGTTGCCCTCAGACTCATATTGTTTCTCACTTTTTTTTGGTACTTTCTTTTAATTCTTCTTGTACTTTTATGTTTGATCACCTCTTCTTCTAGTTTCTGGAACTATTTTGCTTTTTTTCTCCTGTTTTTGTTCCCTTACATATTTTTATTTGTTTCCAAGTTATTATTCTTGTTCTACTCTGATCGAGCAATTGTTCTAGTATGAAATGTTGTAGTTTTTGTATTGGAAGAATTTTTGTTGTCTTTTTCTGTTAGCATATCTGTGATCTTGGTTCCTTTTTCTATAAGTCTGAGATTCTTCTGACTAGTATGAGACCTCTAGTTTTTTAGCTTTTTTTAGTATCTGTATATTTAAATTGTTTTGTAATTTGGATCTGTTCAGGTCTTTTTCATCTAATTCTAGCATACATCTGTAACTTCTCAGATCGATTTGAGCTTTCTTTAGCCGCAACCATGTGGTTTCTCCTACTTCTTGTTCATTGTTTAACCGTACTAGCAGTTCTGTGAAGTAGTGTGCAATTTGTGTTGCTAGATCGATTGTAGCCCCACTATCTTCTTGTGAGTTACTAGAGAATTTGGTGTAGTACTTGTCATTTCTACTTTGTTTTTGAGCATCTTTAGTATGGGGCTTTGTAGCTAGTCATATCACCATTTTGGTAGTATTTTTAGCTACACTCTAAATTCTATTCTTGATAGAAAGACCATGTTGTTGATATATACTATATGTGCTAGTGAAACCTTCTTCTTGCTAATTCTCTTTGTGATTGTATATACTTCATTTTTGATAATATCCTCGATTTGTTTACTTCTATTCTTCGCTACTAGCCAGATACCTAGGAATCTTGTTGGTCTTTCTTCTTCTTTTCTTTCACTACTTCTTTGTTAGAGCGAAGATAATGCTTATATTGTTCTTCTCTTGCTTCTTCCTTGGCTTGATGACTAGTAGCTCTAACTTTTTCGTGTTGATTTCTATGTCATTAATCTTATAAAATTCTTCTATGATTTTAATTGTTCTTTCTAAGTCTTCTTTGGAGCTTGCTATATACGTTGTATCATCTGCGTATGCTATTACTTCTATTTTTAGGCTTTGTTGCTAGATCATGTTGCTTCTAATATCTATCAGCCATTCTACTAATATTTGGTGCCCAGCTTTTTTTTTTTTCTTGAATTGCTACCAGCAGAGTATCATAGAATATTCTCCAGACCAGAGGTGATATGACTTCCTTTTATTAAATATTATTATATTATATTATTTATTATTTAGTTATTATTATTTTTAAAATAAAATTTAAAAGACATATATTATACTTAGCACTTAATATTTAACAATTAATAATTAGCGATTAACAATTAATTGCTGATCCGCATGTGATTGATAGAAATTAGATAGTAAATTACGGCGCTATATTTATTAATAAAAAAAATTTTATTTGAAATCTCTATTTCTTTAAACATTGAAATGACAAATATTCATATAATACCAGGCGAACTTACTACAACAGATACTATTGAACCAGAACTTCATTATGGTCCATATTTGCGTGATTGGTGAATTTTTTCTGAAGAAAATCAAGAACATATACCAAATCCAATTCCAATATGCTTAGAACTTGAGATTTTAATACAGCTAAACAAAAAACCTTTTATTATTCGTGTGGTTCGTTATATACACAGTTGTTTACAACCCGGTTTCGTATGTGAAGGAAGTGGACAAAGTAGTAGTATCATGACAAGTTCCTCTGCAGCAAGTACTTCAGTTTATCAAACTGTTTTTGGTACAAAGACAAAAATTGCTAGACTTTCATATTTAGGTTTAGAACAACCTAAAACATTTCAAAAATTACTAAAAGATATTACATTTCGTCCTTTTATTGTTAAAATAGAAAATTTATCTATTTTTGTTAGTTCCCTTGGTAAAATTACACGTTCAAACCATAGTGTAGTTGGTCACAATTATACATCATCATTTTTTTATAAATACAAAACCAAGCAATTGGTTTTTTTTCAAAATGCTAATAAAGACAATTCATATTCTATTGTAATTTATCAAAGTAGTGAAATTATTGCCGAATATAAGGATAGCTCCCCAAATAATGTTTAGAAACAAACTGGAATTCTAAGATTTATCTCGAGTGATTCTTTATTCGCTATAAACCACCCTATAACTTTACAAAACTTGGATAAAGCATATAAAACTAGATTTTTTCATCAACAACTAATGCCAGACAAATGTACACTTGCAAATTGGGATAACAGAATAATTATGGAATATTTATTTGACCTACATTTAAAAAAAGCTGTTAGTAAATTTTCTGAAGAATGGTATCAAGTTTTTCAAAATTGGAAACAACAAAAAAATAACATCATCGAATTATATACTCATCTTAGTAAAATATATGGATCAAATTATGAGTTTCAGGAACGTGAAATGAGAGTATGGCGTGTGATATTCTGTGCAACTGGATGCACAAAGATTACACCATACAATAAACAATTTTCTAAAGTAATTATAAGAAATCAAAATTTTATGTAATATATATAGCCCACAAAGTAAATAACAACTATATATACTATACTTGCTGGCAAATTACAATCCTCATAGCCCTTACTCAAAACAATAATTAAAACCGAATTCCAATTTCGATCATATTAAATTACCCCAAAACTATTCTCAAATTCTGATTTAAAATAATTTAGAATCGTCCCAACCTAATGCCAAAACCCCAAATCTTACAACTATTATCATTATTCCTGAAACACTTGAAAAATTTCAGATGACTGAATCGATAAGTTACCAAGTCAGAATAAATAAGTTATTAAAATTACAAACATCAAAAAATTATCAATTCAGCAATTTTTCAAATGTCTTAGGTAGGGTTGTTACAGCTGTTTTTATAAATTCTAGAAAATCTGATAAAAATTGATCGACCGAATACTGCCGGTTCGATAAGATTTTGATTCTCAGTGATAAACTTCTGATTCAGGTGTGATTATTGCAGTGAATCAAAACTTATCGAATTGGCAAATATTCGGTCGGTCAATTTTTGCCAGATTTTCCAGAATTTATGAAAATAGCTGTAATGGAGTGACATACTTCGGGCAGCTCCGAAGCATGCCCAACCCAAGTTGGTGTAGATTAAAAATATGCTGGAGTAAAATTAGAGTAAACTGGAGCAGCTATAAGCAAAACTGGAGTGGCTCCAGAGTAAACCCAACACAGGTTGGGGTAGGTTGAGGAATAGCTCAACCTGACCTACTCCAACCCAACCCATTAACAACCCTAGTCTCAGGAATAATGATAATAGCCGTAAATTCAGATTTCAAGTTTAGGAATTATGCCGACAAGTATACAAATCGTCTATGGACTAACTCATACAGATAAACAACCTGATGAGTTACTTGAGTCTTGGGTCAAAATTTTGGTACATTATGTTAGTAGGTTATTTACTATTGACCGAAATTAAAAAATTAAAAAACATGAATTTTTTAATTCTTACTAGTAAATACCTATCTAATCCAGAATATTAGCCTAGATTTTTTTTTTTTTTTTTTTTTGACCCTTGATATGGTTGTCGCGAAATGCTCTATAGCATATATGACCTAGCTTTAGTATATGAGTGATAGCAAAAGAAGGCATGTAAATCGATTCAAA